GGGGTAAGGCCCAGCAGGAGGGGCTGTGGGGCTCGTTACACCTCCGCGACCAGCCCCTCGGCACTGGCCTCGCTCTTCGCCGTGCACTTCAGTTACATATACGTACAATTTTTCTCCCGATATGTGGCACTTTGTAGACTTTAATCGCGCAGTTTAGACGTCACCTTTCAGGAGGAGTAAAGCTCTTGCGCTGCAGGGCGTTAGCGTCGGCCCTAGGCTGGTAGTAAGAGTCTGACGGGCTTGGCAGGCGCGTCCTGCTGCACAACCGCCTGACGTGGGTACAAGAAAAGGTAGAATCTAGAAACATAGGACGATGCTTTAAGCTTCTTTCATACTTTCTCAGGCATAGCCCAGTTTCTCTGTCTTCTGTATTACTTGTTGTAAGTTCCAAACGCGTTTGCTGGAAGTACCTTGTTGCCTAGGAGTTTGCTTCAGTGGTATTAGGGAGTCTTTAGAAAACAGAATGAAGAAGCTTCTAGTAAGCCCGGGGGAAAAAAAAAAGATGTAATCCAAACCGACCCTAATCTTCCTAAATTGCACGGCGTGCTGATATTTTACGGAAATAGGAATGCTTGTACACAGTGAATGGGAGAACATGGGAACAGATAAGGGACTATTAAATCTTAGTTTAGAGTAAAGCCAAATGACTGACAAAGCTGATGTTTATGAAAAAAGAAATTTCTGAATGAACTGGCATGTTTCCCAACACCCAAAAGCTACCAGACTTAAGCTACTGTGAAATGTAATATTTAGTAGTAGCACATACTCCAGGTTTCTAAATAAAGCTTTGCAAGCTGAATGCTCAGAAGAAAGTAAAAATATACATGTAGCTGTCTTTATATTTTGATTTTCAAATTCAGCAAAGTTTCTATCAGCTTTTATTTTGCGACAGTTCATAGTGCTATAATCCTTTACCTGCTGGGGGCATTAGTGTAATTTTGAGAACGTGATTTTCAGCTTGGGTTGTTTGAATGGAACCACATCTGTTCCTGCAGACAGAATTTAGGGTGAAGCAAACTCTCTCTCACGTTTTACCCTGATGACAGAGTAGTTAGCTCAGGTTTTTTTCTAAATATGTAGAGGTGTGCTAGTGCAACACCATCATCACTTTGTAACAGAATTAGAAGGAGCAGGTTTGAATACAACATTTTGAAGAGATAAATGGAAAGTATCTTCATTTTTAACAAAAACTGGCATTTGAAATTCTGTAACTTAAAATAGCTATCAACTAACCTTATAAGTAGCTTATCAAGCATTTTGAAGGAGGGGGAAATTACTTTAGAGATATTTTGCTATTTCTATAAATAAAAATCTTCTCTAGTAAACTAGATCCAATTAGCTGACATATTTTTCCTGCTAATTTTTTTTTTTTTTGTGCTAGTACACTATTTTGAGAAATTCAGTCACTAACAGACTATTGATTCTTTTTCAGTTTATATGGAATATCTAATTTGCATTCTTTAAAACATTTTAGAAAAGTTAGACTTGTAGTTAGAAGAAGTTTACAGGAAAAGAAGTGTTCATGATTTCAGTTCGTCACATTCAGAGATCAGTCGTTGCCAGACAGAGACTTCTTAAAAATTCGATAGCCTCTGTGGAAAGAAGCGTTGAAGGTGACAAGGATTTGACTGTTGTTCTCTTCGCAGTATAGCCCAGACAACGTGGCTGGAGCAGACGGAGACATTGACCCCACTGAAATCACCTTTCCTGGATGTTCTTGTCTTACCAGCTCCTGTGTGGTTCACGTGTGCTCGTGTCTTTGCCATGGCGAAAATTACAACAGTTTGTGCCTCAGGCCTACAGACAAAGAGGAGGAGTACGCCAGGCCTGTTTTTGAATGCAATGCCATGTGCCAGTGTGGCGAATCCTGTCAAAACAGGGTTGTTCAGAGGGGTTTGCAGTTCAGACTTGAGGTATTCAAGACTGAGAAGAAAGGGTGGGGTCTTCGCACTCTGGAATTCATAGCTAAAGGAAGATTTGTTTGTGAATATGCTGGTGAAGTTTTAGGCTTTAACGAGGCACGTAGAAGAATTCAGGCCCAGACATCAAAGGATTCGAACTATATTATAGCGGTGAGGGAGCACCTCCATAGTGGTCAGATAATGGAGACTTTTGTTGACCCTACATACATTGGTAACGTAGGCAGATTCCTGAATCATTCTTGTGAACCAAATCTATTTATGGTACCAGTTCGAGTTGACTCAATGGTGCCTAAATTGGCACTTTTTGCAGCTACTGATATTTCTGCTGGAGAGGAACTTTCATATGATTATTCTGGAAGATTCCATAATTTACTAATAAGTAACAGAGAACAAAAACCTTTAGAGGAAGATAACAGATTAAGAAAACCTTGCTACTGTGGTTCCCGCACATGTGCTTCCTTCTTACCTTGGGACAGCTCCCTCTTTTCCACACCGGACACTTGTTCAGGGAGCTCTCCATAGCTTTTCAGTCCCTAAGCATACCTAACAAATATCATTTTCTCTGGTAGTTAAATTGCAGTTAAATAAAACTCTGATTGTATATTCCACCAAGGAAGCACATGTGGTTTTGAGTAGCAGCTAGAAGACAGGATTTTGAGAATAACTTCATGCAACACCCTAGAGACTGTTTTCAAGGTGGATGGTATGATATGAGGGAGCACTGGAGCTTCAAGATGTTCCAAAATCAGTTACTAAGCCAGGCCTAGTGTTTCTTTCTTTATTTCTTCTGACAGATTGCTGTATGATTAAGCACCTCTCAATCGGTACCTTTCAGAAAGAATGAACTTGAACATTGGTACACAGAAAGGACATGTGATAACAAGAAATGTCACTGAAAATTACACAAGAGAATGAGACCAAGGAATGCTGACATTTGCAAGAAGGGCATTAGGTTTCTTAAATCCCATTAAAATATTTTTTTTTTTAAATTACTTGCTGTAATTTTTTTTGTTCCACAAAACATAAATAACTAATTATTATTGATGTAAAACACTTGCCTAGAAAGATTAACCTGAATGCTTCGTACCCCCCATTTTCCATCTCCAGTCACATCTAGCTGCATACCAAAATCTGGTTTTAAGTGACGAGTTCTGTTTCATTACCGTGCAGCTTCTGTGTAAACAGCGCAGTACTGCAGGCTCTGAGGAGTACAATCACCCCATCTTTTTAAGTCACATTTATCTCAAGGCTCATCTAATAAGATTTCTGCAATAACAAGCAGCACGTCTGTGTTACTTTCCAGCACTATTATTACACGCTCAGGAAGCAAATTCAGACTGCAGTCTAAAGCAGTATGATGCTGCTATTCTGACTTCTGAAATGGATTACAGTAGGAAACAGAAAAGTACTGAACAACAACAAATTTGTGCTTTTATGTTGTTGAACAGCTGGCAGATATGCGAGCGTTCCTTTCAGCTACTAACTGGTTTGTTTCCACTATCCCTACAGAGCCAAACAGTATTAAGCAAGGCCTGTCCTTTCCCAGCAGAGGGAGAAGGTCATTGCCTCTTTTCATCGTTCTTGTACAGATCTAACAAGCGCACACTGCTTTACTGAGCGTCTCCTTACACCAGGGATACACGAGAGAGCTTACCAGATGGGGTACGTTCTGCAACTGCATGTTACTTCACTTCCTTTCTAGAATGATCAAATTAAGGAAGCTCCAAACAGGCTTGTTTTGAATTTCCCCCTACTTTGATATACAAGACAGATAAACTACAATGCTGCTTTTTGCAGTCATGCCACAGTGCTCCATCAGCAGGAGCACTGGGTTATTTGGTCTGTACAGTTTGATTTTTAACTGTATTTATAACCTCTGACAAAACATACACAAGGTAACACATCTGGGGGGGGATCTGCTCTTCTGCAGGCCATCAGCAACTTCTCTTTTTTTTTTTTTAATTAAAAAAACCAACTTTTATTTGAACCTGAAAGACTAACCTGATACTGACAAAGGATAAAGGACATTTTGCTGCTTTTAATTTGCTATTTGGTAAATAAAATCTTACTTTGTGTTTACTTATACTTCCTAGATAAACTTCAGTGTTAGCTTCTCCCCATTACATGTCTACCTTCATGCTTCCATTATGAAGAACTGCTGTTGAGATTTACATACAGCTGTGGTTTTAAAAAATTACCACGTGATTTCTCTTAGGGTTAATCATGAAGCATCACTTCTGTCAATACAGAAAGCTTCCAAAGGATTTCAGCTGCTTGTCAAAAGTAATTTGCAAGCTGAGTAGCCATTAACTTCATTCCTTGCCTGATTAAGGCTGCCTGCTTCTGCAGAAGAGAAGTTCTCCAGATCCCGTAACTGGGAATGCACACTGCGCTAGATACCAGAGTGCAGCTTAGGTTGCAAGGTCTCTTGTCCTATGTAGAGGCTTACCTGGTCTTCTTCCCCCAAAGGGCGTTGCACCAGCCACTTTCAGCCTGCAGGACTGGAGGGCT